TTCCTGTAATTACTGGTCCGGGTGGTAACACGCCAGTGAAAGTTGCCCTGGTAGGGTTCTCACAGCAGGCTGATAAGGGAATAGCTGGGACATGAGACGGTAGAAACGTGCTTTATATCCAGATAAAGACCTTTTGTTGTGTTTTCCCGGAGGGGGGGGGTGGTAATTGACAGTGAGTCTGACACAGAACCCCTTGAGGCTGCTCTGCCTGGCGCAGCTCTCTGCTGGCAGGCAGGCGGCCCCAGCCCTAACCCTGCCACCCGGGCCGGGCCAGGGTGAGGCGAGTGAGGCCCTGGCCTGGGCCCCATCAAAGGAGGGTGGACACAGGGGCACGTCATCAAGAGAAACAATAACAATGCAATGTTTTTTTAAAAAGTAAAGTTGATGTAAAATCACCCAAGCTGAACAAAACATCAACATTTAAAATACATCTTTATTGATTTCAGAGAGGAAAGGAGAGGGAGAGAGAAAAACATCAATGATGAGAGAGAATCATGGATTGGCTGCCTCCTGCACGCCCCACACTGGGGATTGGGCCTGCAACCCGAGCATGTGCCCTGACAGGGAATTGAACCATTGACCTCCTGGTTCATAGGTCGATGCTCAACCACTGAGCCACGCCAGCCGGGCAAACATCAATATTTTTTTTTAATTGTTTTATTGCTTAAAGTATTACAAAGAGTATTACATATGTTTCATTTTTCCCCCCGCCCTTAACAATCCCCCGGCCTCCCCTACCCCCCAGTGTCTTATGTCCATTGGTTATGCTTATATGCATGCATACAAGTCCTTCGGTTGATCTCTTACCCGCCCCCCCTCCCTCCCCTCAAACCTCCCCGGCTTTCCCGCTGTAGTTTGACAGTCTGTTCGAGGCAGCTCTGCCTCTGTATCTATCTATTTTTGTTCATAAGTTTATAATGGTCTTTATTATCCATGAGTGAGTGAGATCATTTGGTGTTTTTCCTTCATTGACTGCCTTATTTCACTTAGCATAATGCTCTCCAGTTCCATCCATGCCGTTGCAAATGGTAAGAGTTCCTTCTTTTTTATAGCACCATAATATTCCATCGTGTAGATGTACCACAGTTTTCTAATCCACTCATCTGCTGATGGGCACTTAGGCTGTTTCCAGATCTTAGCTATGGTGAATTGCGCTGCTATGAACATAGGGGTGCATATATCCTTTCTGATGGGTATTTCTGGTTTCTTGGGATATATTCCTAGAAGTGGGATCGCAGGGTCAAATGGGAGTTCCATTTTTAGTTTTTTGAGGAAACTCCACACTGTCTTCCACAGTGGCTGCACCAGTCTGCATTCCCACCAGCAGTGTACGAGTGTTCCTTTTTCTCCACATCCTCTCCAGCACTTGTCGTTTGTGGATTTCTTGATGGTAACCATTCTGACAGGTGTGAGATGGTACCTCATTGTTGTTTTGATTTGCATCTCTCGGATGATTAGTGACTTTGAGCAAGTTTTCATATGTCTCTTGGCTTTCTGAATGTCCTCTTTTGAAAGGTGTCTATTTAGGTCCTTTGCCCATTTTTTGATTGGATTGTTTATCTTCCTTTTGTTAAGTTGTATGAGTTCCCTATAAATTTTGGAGATTAGGCCCTTATCAGATATAACATTGGCAAATATGTTTTCCCATGCAGTGGGCTTTCTTGTTGTTCAAACATCAATATTTTAAATAAAGATGGGATCCACCCTGTAGCTCCTCGCTCATCTCAGTTGCCGCCCTCCTGGTCTGGTCCTGTTGGTTCTTTTTTTACTTACAATGTTGTGTGTTCACTAGAGGCTCAGTGCATAAAATTTGTGCACTAGTAGGGTCCCTAGCTGCTGTGGGCTGCCAGCTGGGTACTCCCTCTCTTCCCCCGGCCGGCCCCGCCCCCTGGTAGGACTCCTGGACCAACCGGTTGAGGGGACAATTTGCATACTATGCTCTTATTATTTATTCATGATGTGTGCATCTCATTCTTCCTTTCCTTGGCTCACCCTTTTCCCACCTTATTTCTCCCCCCACACACATCCCCCATCACAAGGTTGGCTACAGGAGGAGGAAGGGGGAATGACCATGGGAGAAGCCACAGGCGTTGGCTGGAGGTATCACTGTTACACACCAGGGAACGGCGCCAAAGTCAACAGTGGCCAGTTGCTCAAACGGATGTCCCCATGCAGACTCGGGGGAGAGAGTACTGTCATGATGTCAGCACACAGTGCCTGCGGGCACAGCGGTGGCGCGAGTGGCTTTCTGTTTGCCTAATCAATCATTCCAGCTGCGGTTCGTGCCCTCCTCCCGCTGCCATCGCCAGTGTCCTGCCTCCGCGCCTCCTTCAGCGCCTGCTCCCCAGTCCCAGGGCTTCCCCGAACCTTTCAGTTCAACCCTTCCAGGGCCGAAGCAGCGTCTGAGAAGGCCCCTCCGGCCCAAGGGCCCTTCTGGGGGGGGACCCGCACGTGGCTCTCCGGGGGGGGGGGGCCCTTGTTTCTTCCGGGAAATTTTTGGAAACTTGGGGGGTATTGTTGGCACC